TGAGAACTGGCGACTTTGTAGTACAACTTTAGTACGCGGAGTATCTGGGAGCTGGAAGATGAGAACTGGCGACTTTCTAGTCCAACTTTAGTACGCGGAGTATCTGTGGAGCTGGAAGCTGAGAACTGGCGACTTTGTAGTACAACTCTAGTACGCGGAGCAAGCCGTGGAGCTGGAAGCTGAGAACTGGCGACGTTGTAGTACAACTTTAGTACGCGGCTGAGTCATCTTTATTCTGTATTTGGCAAAAAAGCATGAACAACGTTTTTTCCTGCGAGACAGTTGACGGTGGTTGCTTCGCTTTCGCTCCATTGGTCGGCTCCAACTTGTTTTGTCAAAGAACATCGCAGCTCGGCTAATCAGCCTGCCACATGCCCATTTCCTATAGGTTTACTCTTTTGGAAACTTCCGCCGCCGGCTTGCCCCGGAACTACTTGTATATACACAATACACACAGTGTTATATATGTGTTCTGTTTTCCGCGCTTTTTGTTTCGTTCTTTTAATTTTTTTGTACCGGAGGGTTTCCCAAGTGACCTAGGTACAAGATCCCCGTGGCCCCTGCGAACTACCAAAGCCAAGTGGTGGAGACCTTACGCTCCGCCGTGGCTGCCATGCCCGAGCCGGTGGGCCACACCGGACCACGCTACATGGGCCCATCCTCCCTGAACGAGGGCTCCATCAAGCAGATGCTGCAGAGCTTCAAGAACGGCCAGCTTTTGCCCATGAAGGAGTGAGGGAATGAAGAGTATATGCATGATATGAAGTTGTTGAAAGGTGGCATGGCGGAAGAGGGTGCCAGGTGATGAAAAGGTGTTTTGGATGGAGAAGGATTGTTCAAAAGCCGGTTAGAGGATTGGACTGCGAGAGGCAGCCAAACAAAGAAATGAATCACCGGTCACATAGGGACATAGGGTTCCCAATAAACCAATGTTGCTTGTGTGCGTGATGATGTGTGTGATGCAGCGAAAATGTTGTGGTCACAATTGTTCCATGGAGGATGCATACAAACTGGCCATTGATGCCTTTGACATCTTGGTAAAGGAAAAGACCCTTGGACGGCTCAACGTGCCTGTTGGCAAAAAGGCCCGGGCATCCAGATGGGAAGTGTGGAATGTCGTCAACTTCATGGGTTGCGTCTAAGCTACTTCCATGGCACCACCACAGGGTCCATGCCTTCAGCCCTGGTGGAACCCGCACGGACCTACACAATCATGAAATAAGAGTGTGTTTGGCCAGCAAGGGCAAACTTAAACACACATGTCACATGCCTAGTAGATGCAAAGTAAGCCCTCATTTGCGTTTTGGCCGACTCCGAATGCGCTCCTCAGCACAGGTCACCGTGGTGGGTGATCTTCATGGACAGCTCTATGACTTTGACCACATGTTGAGCCTGGCAGGCTTTCCTTCACCGGACAATCAATTCCTGTTCAACGGAGACTTTGTGGATCGTGGGCCCTGGAGTGTGGAGGTGGGAAGGGCCTGAAGGGTGAGGGGAGCACTTCCAAAACTGGGAGGGTGTCTAGTAGCTTCTTGTTACTACTAGTAAGGCACTTGTTCCTAGTAGCTTCTTGCTACTACTAGTAAGGCACTTGTTACTAGTAGCGATGCACTTGTTCCTAGTAGCTTCTTGTTACTACTAGTAAGGCACTTGTTACTAGTAGCGATGCACTTGTTCCTAGTAGCTTCTTGTTACTACTAGTAAGGCACTTGTTACTAGTAGCGGTGCACTTGTTCCTAGTAGCTTCTTGTTACTACTTCCTACTAGTAAGGCACTTGTGACTAGTAGCGATGCACTTGTTCCTAGTAGCTTCTTGTTACTACT